AAATGAAGTTTTTTATTGGCTTAAAAAGCAATTTTGGCAGTCTTGTGGATGAAGGTGGAATTTTAAGGTTTAAATTGATATCTTATATTCAATTTGCGACAGTCGTATGGGGAATTTGTAGACAGTAGTTGATTCGTAAAAATATTTTTAATTTTTCTATTTTTTTACTTTTATAGACTTGAAAACATTTGACAATGTATGGCACAGATCTGAGTTTAATATATGTGCTAATGCTGTTTTCGTGCTTTTTATTAAATCCTATTATAAGGCCAACTAACGCTTACAACTATTTAAAAAACAATATTTTCAAAAGGTGTATTTGCTATCAGTTAGTGGGAGCCAAACGAAGAGTGCTTCAAAGTGCGCAATGAAACTTGTTATAAATTTGTATTATTGCTCGAGCAATACTCCTACAGTATCATAAATGCAAATTGTTTTCGTAGAATATCAGTAAACAAACAGTACTTAGCCTTGAAAGGTAAATTAACTGCAGTAGCTTATTAACGAAAACTGATATAAATGGAACAACTTGTGAAACGAAATTTTGCCCTATCTTCTGGCTATGAAGGGCTGCCAGAAATTATTATTAAAATAAAAGATGATTACTTAAAAAAATACCCTTGGTTATATACGCCTCCAACACTGAGAAAAAGGATTCGTTTCGACAACTAAAGATATTTAGTTCCCGAATTTTGACAATATTTGGGAACTGTTACCAAGGATTGGGAACTATTACCATGGGTTGGTAATTATAACTAAATATGTTAAAGCCTCTAATATTCATCTAGGTTGTAACAAATCGTTAATTTAGTTTAAGGGTTTGGTTAATACTAATAAATATTTCTTTGAAGCATATTTCTACAAATTCCATTCAACTTAACGCATGGTTCATAAAAGGATGTTATTAAGCTCTGCTAATGCAGATAAGCTTTCTTTCAACACATGGTTTAGTCATAGTTACCAAATCTTAGTTGAGGCAACCATGATTTGGTTTGAGAGTGGTTTGTGAGCCACCCCTAAAAAATGCTGAGCGCTCTCTGAGCACATGTGTGTTTCACATCCGAAGAGCGCCAGCTGAGCAATGCACACAGTCCCACTTATTGAATCGTTTGAATGTGCTAGTATGCCGACCATTGCCCTGCAAAAATTTGAGGACCAGGTGGTCCACTGGGTCGTAGTTTTAAGGTATGAGCACAAGGACCAGGTTGCATACTAGTAACTTGTTATGCTGACCTGGACCACTTCAAATGTAAAAAACTTATATATGTGTTGAACACCACCTCTTCGTGGCCGATCGGCAATATGATTCCGTTGCCGAATGTGCCATGGTTCAAAAGGAGTAGTTGTCTAGGTGGTCCCATGTTACGCAGTGGTGGACCAAAAGTGGTCCCATGTTATGCAGCGTTGGACCAGAGGTGGTCAGGTCCAATGACATCGCAATGTTAATGTAACCATATTTTCTCCATATATTTGGACCATTTTGGTTACTAGTGTTGGTTACAAGGTAGTGTGGTCCTGTACTAGTACTTAACCTAGTCCCACTTTTTGCAGGGT